ATATAATCATTTAAACCGTCGAAGATATGAAAGTGTTTTAAATAAAAGAAGTTGAATGATTTTAAGAATAATTCATAATAATACAAAATTTTTTTCTAATTTTGTATTTATTTAAAAAATGTTTATAAAGTTATTATAATTATAAAGTACTCTTAAAACTATTCAATTTTTGTCTATATTCAAAACATTTTTTATATCTTTGATTTAGATATTCACTCAGAAAAAGATTTTTCGAAAGAATGTTCTCTCCTTTAACATGCAAGAAAGTTCATAAAAAATACATATTTTTAAATCTTATTTTTGTCTATATTTTAACATACATAAAGTTTATTAAAATCGGAGGGAGACAATTCGTTGTATTCCCTCCTCATGAGACTGAGAGAATATTGAATATCTATTATACGATATTGTTATCGAATAATTACAAAAGATGATGAAATCTTCCAATGCTTGAAAAAGCCCAAATAATTGAATCCTTATTCCGAGAAGATGACAAACATAATTATTCTCACATCGCAAATTTCACTTTAATGCCGCTTGCACGAGAATGGTCCCGTTAATTATCAGAACTTGTTATCGTCAGACATCGCCAAAATTTATATGGAAGCCATATACTTTGATACAAAGTCAAGTTCCATTTGACTTTATCGCATGGAATAGTTCAAAGCATTCTTACGAACGACGAGTTCTTTTTGGATGGACCATTCTTACAATCGTAAATTCGATCAGAGCGGTCTCTTATGTAATTCACAGAAACATCCGAAGCAAAATCGACAGGAAATGATGCGTTATGATTCGTAACATTCTGCGGTGTATGACGTGTATGACTGACATTTCGATACGTGAATGTGTACGATTATAAATCGGCATTCAGTGTCCATAAAACTTCACTCGTGCTAATTCGATATATAATTCACGTGAAAGTTGGAGTAAATTCATATTAGGCACAAGGACAATTAACTCGCAAGGAAAACTCACGAAACGCTGGAGAATTTTTTTCTCAATGTATAATTAAAAGAGACAGAAAAGTCAAGAAATATGAACGTAGACTTTACTACGCAAATTAGCGGTAAACGCAATTGACAAAAACTTATACAACATTGTCATAAATTTAAAAGTAATGAAACAGTGAAATTCGAATAATGTTAAAATATATACTTGATTACAGACAAGAAAAAACACGACATCCTCTATAACAAATTTATTTTTCCACGATTCGATAATGTTTCCTGATTGCCTTTCTAGACTTTTCCGAGCGTCCTGGTTGTTCGGGAGGGAAAAGGAACTGTGCGCTCCGACTTTACAAAAATTTACTTCGCTTATATTACAATAACCTTCCCTCAATTTAAGATATTCAACCCTTAATATATTATTATCATAAATAAATTTGGTCTATATCGGTAATATTGTGAATACGCCGGTACAAACACTGGCAGTATTTGGTTAAGTAAAAATCATGATCACTAGAAGAGGTAACTTGTACGGAAATTTTAATTATGATATTACAATTTCTTTCATATTTTGTAACTTTTTGTTTTCACATTTCATACGAACGCAAAAGAAGTGTTTCAGTATCTCAAAACTGACAAAAGAGAATGATTTAAACGCGCACGTTACTACTTCCAGTAAACCTGATTTGATATTCTTTAAATGATTTGCCGGGGGTTTCGCAAATCTATCCACGATAGAAGCAAAATTTCTCTATATATGGATGCCATGAAATACTTTCATTTGTCATTATTTAATTAGTATTTATACATAATTTAGTATGATATAAGATTGTTAATGCCCTATAGGATCGATCTCCATAATCAACCATAATAATTTCTATATAACCATAATCTCCATAATAATTTGCAAAAACGAACAACAGAAATAGTATAGATTTAAAAAATTAGTCTCCAATATTTTCAACATATTGCAGATGAATTAAGTAATAGCTAACGCGCGACAAAAATAAATAATAGAAATAATTATATGAATATAAGATAACGCTACTTCGTGAATAGATCTACCAAATAGAATCAATAGGGGAGTGCTACGAGTCAGGTAGATCGGTTTGAAAAACAGGTATTGTAACAGGTGTTGTCAACATTTCCAACTTGATCCACCAAGATTGCCCCGGTCAGTATGCATTGTAAACTATCGCGATCCATTAATTCGCGATGATTCATTTTTAAAAAAATAATCAATGTGTTGTTATTATTGCCAATATGGCGTAATGGGTTCAAGACAAACATCAACATTTTTTTCTCTACTTGCATGTATGTGTACATACTATCAATACAACCAGTCAACATTAACTGAGAATAAGAAAAAGGCATTATTTTACATCATCACCGCGTGTTGATCCAAGTCATGAACCATAGGACACCGAGTTGTGCACACGCAGTGTTTAAATTTTTTTTACATATGTCTCTATATATTTATAATGTATGTTGTGTTGTGTGTTTATGTTGTGTGGTACGTGTTTTACTCAATCACTTTACATTATTACAGTTTTTTTCAGTCCACACACTTTTCAAATACCTGCAAATCAAAATTCATATTTTTGCCCCATTTACATTTTCAAGCATAATTACAAACAAACCTCATAACATGCATAAAAAATGATATTGTGGCATTGTATTTATAGAATTTTTAGCTCATTATTTACGTCCAATGCGTATGATAACATATACACGAATTTAATGAGCGCGCGACTGCAATCAAATTCGTATATATATTATTCACTCCAAGAATATAAATAGATTTGTACAATCAATAATCGAACAATGAACTCTCGTGCGACATAAACTCCGAAATCAATATTACTTAAAAAAATATTATAGCATCTACATATTAAATGAGAGATTTCTTTTTTCTTTTATCAAATATATAAATACCATAGTAAGAAATTAAATTAACGAATACATACATAATTATAAGGAAATTTTGCAATAAAATAATATTTAGAAATGTGAACATAGGAAATTTATATAAACATTTATATCATTCCTAAAACCGAATAAATAAAATTTTAAAGCATACCATATTTTACGTGTGTATTTTTAACCTTCTCTCTTAATGGCACCGGGAGCTTCAGCTAGTCCTTTAACTTTAAGCCGGTCTGCTGTTTTAAGAAATGCTGGTAGCTGATCTTGCGAGACATTTACTTCACCTGCATACATAAATTCTAAGATGGCTTGTAGATGACTGTATGCAACGTCCTTTAGAATTATAATTGGATGTTTGGACGGATTTTCCTATATATAAAGAGAAAATTTATTTAGTTGCAAAGTCTATCGATCACTAATGATATTAGCTAATACACAATAGTAATGTTAGAATGATGATGTAAAATAATAGAATAATTTTGCCAATGTACCTCTAATAAAGATTTGAAGTAAGGACTACAGGCGGACAAGACCATTTTATGTGCTTTACAAGTTTGACCATCGCAAGCCAATGTCACATCCGTGAAGCTTTTCTCATCTCGCAGATGTTTGAATGATGACACCATGTTTGATTGGAAGTCATTCCATTTGAGAAAAAACTGTTGCTGCTCTCCTGCCATTGTGAATGCTGGAATTTCCCTATAACTCTTGCGTGATTGTGCAGTCTGCAAACAACATTACAATGAAACATCAGTCAATTTGACAAACAAATCAGCCCTAGAATTCTGTAACTTTATACAGCAGTGTCGGTATCATTATGTTATCATCATGCAGATATTACACGTGTATAGTCAAAAAAACTGTGCAACAATATAACAATATACAGATCATTAAGAGTTACAAAATTCTAATGTAGAACTGCCTAAATGCGTTCATGTATTATACATTCATATGAGATAGGACTTAAACAAAATAAAATAATACGAATAAAATAAGGTTTTCTTTTCAGCTGAACTTCTTGCATAGTTCTTACATCTTTTCTCTTTTTTTTCCAAGTTGGAGAAAAAAAAAATTAAAAAATGTGAACAGTTTAGCTAAAGAGAACAAGTCTAAATCTTATATTAGGGACCTGTTACAGTTCTTGAAATAAAATGAAAATTACAAGAATGCAAATTTATTAGAATATTTATTTAGAACCTCATAGTTCATTGGTTAACATCGAGCGAATTCATTTACTTTATAAAACTTTCAGTTTTTATCTTGTTTTAAGAACGAGATATAAATAAGCCTCCAGACTAGAGATTGAAATTGAGACTGAGGACAGTATTCATAATTCGTTCTTATTTTAAGACATTCTTAAGTAATGTCGTAAGATACTAATACAGCCCTCCTGGTTTATTACACTGTACTTAAAACAATCTCAAACATAAGACTTGACTATAAATACTGGCTTGAGATTGAATCTAATTAAAGTAAAATTTATCAAGCTTGATATTTTTTTTTTCATCTAATTAATCAATCTCAATCTCTATACAGGTTTTAAGAATAAAGAGAGATCACACGTCCGATATCACGGGCTACATCGGAGGTAAATAAAAAAATGTACAGCGACATACGCGAGAGAGGACCTGTATCAACTGCGTCACGAATATTAAGTTTCGACGAGAGAACGAAATTCGGAAAAATACGTTCGCGAGTCCCCATGCGAAGGTTCTTTGTAGGTTAAATTAAAGGATGCCACAGAGAGCGATTGAACATCGCAATGAGACACGGTGACGCGGCGGAGTCGACCAAATCATTCATGCGAAGCTGAGTATATCTCACGATCATCAAATTAGCATGCACGACTGTGATAGATATATCGGGACATTGAAATTCGCGTTGATCCGTTCTCGTCACAACATCGCAACGCGTGCATGCGTCCGTCGAGCCGTCTGCCGTCGAGAGGCGCACACGAGTCCGACACAACACGGTCCGCAAACACGACCAGGCGGGATCGAACGCGCGATACAGAGTTCCGTCCACGGCGTGCATGCGATTCCTTACTTCGCGCCGTCGACGGGCCGCCGAATCCTGGACGAGGCGACGACGTGGCTGACGAGCACCTTGCTGTTGCTTGCCGTAGGTAGAACGCGAAAAATACGTAGCGCCAAAAACTTTTTGCGCGATCACCACAAATTTTTTGTTGTGGCTAATATCACGGCGAGAAAATTCGGCTCAAATCGAGTCTTTCCGCCGGTGATCGGTCTCATCTCGCGTATGCAATACCGACTGAAGTCGTTCGCAAGCAAGCTGCCAGATGGCGCGACTCATTCGGTCGCATTCCGCTTATTACGAAAATCAATTTTAAACGGTCGGTAAACATTTCGTACTGATTTCTTCAATTTCTTAAGGGGATCCTAAAGCCTCCTGTTTTACCAATTAAATCATGTAATTTTTGTATAACAAATACTTTTTTCTCTTTCACCGATTCGAAAATCTTTTTCCAGGAAAAATCCTTCGATAAAAATCTTCTTCAAAAAGAATGTAACACCGAATATCCGATCGGATAACCGGATATCATTGTAATATTTACCGATAAATCTAAAATTTTATATTAGAAAACTTGTACAGTTTATCTTTTATCTTTATCTTTTCACGTTGAAGAGATAAAGAAAATTATTACCGCTATTTTTCCCTCGCTTTCCTTTTTTTTTTTTATAATTTTAAGAAATTTGTACCGAATATCCGGGAAGATATCCGAAATCCGGCCGAATTAATGGCTCCTGCAGACTGAACGCAGCAACGACGGAAATTGGCGCGAGAGCCAATCATTTAATCGCTTTTCTATAAAAGAGTGATTGGCTACTGTGCTAACTTCTGCTGCGCAAGCGTTATACCGCGTCTGTCTGTGGGAACCATGATTGTCCTACCGGATATCGGATATCCGGTGTCACATTCTTTTCGAAGATTTTTATCGAAGGATTTTTATTCCGTTCAGTAAATTTGGAGATTTTTATCGATCCGCATTCTGACAATTTGGTCACTCCAGCATCCCCCTAACTCTATGTAGATACATATGATGGTTTTTCGGTCCTTTATGATGTATCGCTCGATATCCCACAATTGAATTAATAAGAGATGCCACGGTAAATTCAATTTGTTCCATCTTGTGTATAGCTGTCTCTCTTCGCGCCAAAATAGCGAGGCGAATTACTCTGTTAACTTTTGAAAATTGAGAGGTTGAAAAAGCCTAGAGTACTATAATAACTTAAATGACTTTACTCGATATTTTCAAACGCAACTGGTATGTTAGTTTTATGTGACCCGAAGAATAATTGGAAAAATTTTTATTCGGAGTAGAAATTCCGAATTCGTGAAGATTCTAAACGAAACTTAATACATAAAAATTCGATAATTGTTTCCGAAAAACGAAGACTGATGATCTACGCTAAATCTGCATTTGTTCTCTGTTATCTTACAAATTTACGGAAATTATTAAAATATTAAATCAATAAATTATAATGATTTAAATGTCATT